CTTCCGCTTCCGGAGCGACTGGGTATAGAGTGGAAAGCTTGTGGTGCAGTAGAGAAAGTTAAGTGTGGAGGGAAGGAGTGGTGTGAAAGGGTGGAGAGTGCGAGGAAATTGTGTGGATTGAAGGGAGAGATGGAGTGAATGAAGGGAGAGAAGGAGGAGTAAGTAGGAGAGAGAAAGAGTGAGTGGAAGTGTGTGAAGAGATAGTGAGGTTAGGGAGGAAATAGTAGGCGAGGGGAGAGAGAGGGAGGGGAAAAGGGCAGTGAGTGCGCGTGGAGCGGGAGCATAGAGAGAGCAAGATACAGAGAGGCGACACGGGAGAGGAGACGGTGGCGCGGTAGTGTATAGGCAGGGAGTATACAGAAAGGTAGAGAGGTGGAGTAAGAGAAAGTAGAAGAGGAAGAAGGCAGTGAAGTGAGGTGGAAGGAAAAATGGCGGAGAAGGAGAAAATAGATGGTGCGAAAGGGGGAAAGGGGATAGATGTTAGAGAGATGGGAAGAGAGCGCAGGGGGAGTGGAGGGGTGTTAGATTTATGGAAAAGGAAAAGGGAGGTAATGGAGGAAATTGAAGAGAGGAACAGATTGGAAATGGAGAGGTCGTTTCAAAGGAGTAAAAAAACGCCGAGATTACCGCAAGAAGAGAGGGTGGACAAGGAGGGGGAAAAGGGGGGGGAGGAGGTAACGATGGTGGGAATGATGAAGTGTTGGATGGAGGAATTTAAAGGAAAGTGGGAGAGAATAGAGGATAGAATGGAGGATATAGGGAAAGAGCTGATAGAATTGAGGAGGAGGGAGGAGGAGTGGAGGAGAGAAAGAGAAAATTTAGAGAAAAGAATGGGGGTGCTTGAGGAAAAGTGGGAAAGAAGGATGGTGGAGAAGGGAGAGGATAAAGTGATAGAGGGGTTGGAAAGGAGGGTGAAGAGGCTAGAGTGCGGGATAAGGGAACAAGGAAAAGGAGGGGAAGAGAGGGAAGAGCAGGGGATGGAGGTGAGACTTAGCAAAATAGAGAAGATGTGGGAAAGAAAAGAGAGACAGGAAAGGAAAAGGAACGTAATGGTAAAGGGATGGAAGGGGGAGGAAAAGGAGGTGAGGAATATAATAAGGGAAATATTTAAGAAGATTGGGGCGGAAGTGGAAATAGAGGAGGTAAGAGTGGTGAAAACAGGAAAGGAAGGGTGGGGGGGATTGGCTCTGGTGAAATTGAAGTCGGAGGAGGATAAGAGGGAGGTGATGATGAAGAAGAAGGAATTGAAAGGGGAGAGGATATGGATAGAGGATGACTTAACTTGGGGGGAGAGGAAGACGAGGTGGAAATTTAGGGAGGCAATTAATAGAGTGCGGAAAGAAGGGAAGACAGTCGTGGCAGGGAACAATAAGGTTTGGATTGAAGGGGAATGGTGGTGGTGGAAAGAGGAGGAGGGAGTGTTAAAAGATAGATTGGGAAGAAAGAGAGAAGAGGAGAGTATGAAAGAGTCGGGGGAAGGAGTGAGCAGGGCATAGTAGAGGGAGTAAGAGAGAGG